CTAAGCAGAAGATCAACACAGAAACAAGGGCTTTGAATGACACCCCTGGACCAGATGGACTTCAGAGTTACATACAGAACAGTTCATCCCAAAAGCAAAAGAATACCCATTCTTCTCAAGTGCACATGGAAGTTTTTCCAGAATAGGTCACATCCAGGGTCACAAATCAGGTCTCAACTGATACCAAAAGATTGAGATTATTTCTTGCATATTTTCAGACCACAGTGCTCTGAAACAAACTCAGTCACAAGAAGAAATTTGGAAGGAACTCAAACACTTGGAGGTTAAAGAGCATCCTACTAAAGAATGAATGGGTCAACTAGAAAGTTAAAGAAGAATTTAAAAAATTCACAGAAACTAATGAGAATGAAAGCACTTTGGTTCAAAACCTTTGGGATACAGCAAAGGTGGCCCTAAGAGGGAAGTACATAGCAATACAAGCCTCTCTCAAAAAATTAGGAAACTCCCAAATATACAAGCTATTGTACACTTGGAGAAAGAAAAGCAAATAAAGCCCAAACCAAGCAAGAGAAATAATAAAGATTAGAGCAGAAATCAGTGAAATAGAAACCAAAAGACCAGTAGAACAGATCAATGAAAGTAGGAGCTGGTTCTTTGAAAGAATTAATAAGATTAATAAACCTCTGGCCAGACTTATCCAAAAGAAAAGAGAAAGGACCCAAATTAATAAAATCACGAATGAAAGGAGAGATCACAACCAACACTGTAGAAATACAATTATAAGAACATATTATAAGAAACTATATACTAACAAATTCAGCAATCTGAAAGAAATGGATGCTTTCTTGGAAACTTAGAAACTACAAAGACTGAAACAGGAAGAGGTAGAAAATCTGAACAGACCCATGACCAGCAATGAAATTAAAGCAGTATTCAAAAACCTCCCCAAAAAACAAGAGTCAGGGCCAGGGGGATTCTACCAAACATTTAAAGTCAGGGGAATTCTACCAAACATTTAAAGAAGAAATAATACTTATTCTCCTGAAGCTGTTTCAAAATATCGAAACGGAGGGAAAACTTCCAAACTCCTTCTGTGCGGCCAGCATTACCTTGATCCCAAAACTAGACAAAGACCCCATCTAAAAGGAAAATTAAAGACCCATATCCCTGATGAACATGGATGCAAAAATTCTCACCAAGATACTAGCCAGGAGGATCCAAGAGTACATTAAAAGGATTATTCACCATGATCAAGTAGGATTTATTCCTGGGCTGCAAGGATTCAGCATCTGTAAATCAATCAGTGTGATATGCTACATAAATAAAGGACAAGAACCATATGATCCTCTCAATAGATGCAGAAAAGTATTTGACAAATTATAGCTTCCTCCTTGATTAAAATGCTTCACAGTGTAGGGACAGAGGGAACATACCTCAATATCATAAAAGCCATCTATGAAAAGCCCACAGTGAATATCATTCTCAATGGGGAAAAAATGGAGAGCTTTTCCCCTAAGGTCAGGGATGTCCACTATCACCATAGTATTAGAAGTATTAGAAGTCCTAGACTCAGCAGTCAGACAACAAAAAGAAGTAAAAAGCATCCGAATCAGCAAAGAAGAAATCAAACCCTCACTCTTTGTCAATGACACAATACTCTGTGGAAAACCCAAAGGACTCCACCCCAACACTGATAGAACTCATATAGGAATTCAGCAACGTGGCAGGACATAAAATCAATGCACAGAAATCACTTGCATTTCTATACACTAACAATGAGGCACAAGAAAGAGGAATTAAGGAATTGATCCTATTTATAATTGCATGGAAAACTATACGATACCCAGGAATAAACCTAACCAAAGAGGCAAGAATCTGGACTCAGAAAACTATAGAACTCTTATGAAAGATATGGAGGAAGACACAAAGAAATGGAAAAATGTTCCATGATTATGGATTGGAAGAACAAATATTATTAAAATGGCTGTGCTACCTAGAGCAGTCTTTTCAATGCAGTCCCTACCAAAATACCATTGACATTTTTCACAGAGCTGGGCTAACAATCCTAAAATTTGCATGGATCCAGAAAAGGCTCCAAATAGCCAGGGGAATGTTGAAAAAGAAAACCAAAGCTGAGGGCATCAGAATGCCTGACTTCAAGCTCTAGTGCAAAGCTGTGATCATCAAAACAGCACAATACTGGCACAAACAGACATTTAGATCAGTGGAACAGAATAGAGAACCCAGAAATGGACCCTCAACTCTATGGTCAACTAATCTTCAACAAAGCAGGAAAGAATATCCAATGGAAAAAAGTCAGTCTCATCAATAAATGGTACTGGGAAAATTGGACAGCCACCTGCAGAGGAATGAAATGGGACCTTTCTCTTATACTGTACACAAAGAAACTCAAAATGGATGAAAGACCTAAATGTGAGACAGGACTCTATCAAAATCCTAGAGGAGACCACAGGTACTAACCTCGTTGACCTTGGCCACAGCAACCTCTTGCAAGATACATCTCTAAGGCAAGGGAAACAAAAGCAAAAATGAACTATTGGGACTTCCATCAGGATAAAAAGTTTTGCACAGCAAAGGAAGCAGTCAACAGAACTAAAAGGCAACCTATGGAATGGGAGAAGATATTTGCAAATGAGATCAGATAAAGGGCTGGTATCCAAGATCTATAAAGAACTTAACAAACTCAGCACCCAGAGAACACATAATCCAGCCAAGAAATGGGCAGAAGACATGGAAAGACACTTTTCCAAAGAAGACTTAACAGATGTTCAGCAGACACATGAAAAAATGCTCCACATCATTTGCCATCAGAGAAATACAAATCAAAACCACAATGAGATATCACCTTAATAACACCGGTTAGAATGGCTAAAATTAACAAGGCAGGGAACAACAAATATTGGCAAGGATGTGGAGAAAGGGGAACCCTCTTACAGTTTTGATGGGAATGCAAGCTGGTACAGCCATTTGGAAAACAGTATGGAGGTTCCTCAAGGAGTTAAAAATAGAGCTACCCTATAACCCAGCAATTGTACTATTGGTATTTACCCCAAGGATACAGTTGTAGTGGAAAGAAGGGCTCATGCACCCCAATGTTCATAGCAACAATGTGCACAATAGCCAAACTGTGGAACAAGCTGAGATGTCCTTCAATAAGTGAATGGATAAAGAAGATGTGGTTCATATATACAATAGAATATTATTCAGCCATCAGAAAGGATGAATACCTGCCATTTACATCAATGTGGTTGGAACTGGAGGGAATCATGCTAAGTGAAATAAGTCAAACTGAGAAAGACAATTACCACATGGTTTCACTCACATGTGAAATGTAAGGAATAACGCAGAAGATCATAGGGACGGGGAGGGAAAACTGAATGGAAAGAAATCAGAGGGGGAGACAAACCATGAGAGACTCTTGACTCTGGGAAACAAACTGAGGGTTGGGGAATGGGAGGTGGGTAGGAGGATGGGGTAAATAGGTATTGGGCATTAAGGACGGCACATGATGTGATGAGCAGTGGGTCTTATATGCATCTAATGACTCATTGAACATTATATCAGAAAATAATGTATTATATGTTAGCTAATTGAATTTAAGTAAAAAATGAAAAAAAATGAAGAAAAGATCTTTCATTAGAGAAACACAAATTAGAATTATGAGATACGCTTCCGAATTAAAATGACCAACAGTACCTAGTCCTGGAGTTGATACAGAGCAAATTGACCTCTCATATATTACTGGTGGGAATGGAAAATGTTATGGCCACTTTTTAAAACAATTTTGACGGTTTCTTATATTGTTAAATATATATTTACCATGTGACCCAGCCATTCTGTTCCTAGATATTTACCCAAGTTAGGAAAACATGTTGACAGAAATGTTCACAGCAACATCATTCATAATTGCCTAAACCTGGAAACAACCCAAATAGGCATTAGTCTGTAAATGCGTAAGCAGTTTGTGGTATATACATAAAATGGAATCCCATTTAGTAGTAAAAGGGAACAAACTGCTTATATATGCACCAGCACTGATAGATCGCAAAACCTTAGGTTAAGAATTTCTTATGAATTCTAGAACAGGCACAGGCATAGTGTAAGAAGAAGGTCTCTGTTGCCAGAGAGTTGGAAGGAATTGAGTGCAGAATTGAGTGTCAGGAGGGAACTTTGGGGTGATTGAGTGCTATATATCATTATTTTGATAGTGGTTATAGACTTGTATCCATGTGTTAAAAGTCAGTTGTTAGGGGTATCTGGGTGGCTCAATCTGGTAAGAGTCTACCTTTGGCTGAGGTCAAATGGATGGAGCCCCATGTCGGGCTCCCTGCTCAGCCAGGAATCTGCTTCTCCCTCTTCCTCTGCCCCTCTCCATGTCCCTTCTCTCTCTCAAATAAATAAAAATCTTAAAAAAAATCACTCATTAATTTTATTCTTTGTGAATTATCTCACAAGAAAGCTGAATAAGAAAAAGCAACTTTTAGATGAATGATCAAACTCCCTTTAAGTCATAGAATGATTGGAGAGAATAACAGGTTTCATTTTTTTTCTGGACTTTCACAAACAAGGGTCTGCATACTTTGGCAGAAAACGGAGAAAGGCTATCACCAAGCAGGTAGGTATCTAGCTTTGCTCATCAGTTGGATATAAAACTTAAATTCAGAAAAGAAGTAGTAATTTTGCTTAAAATAAAATAAAAATAAAATTTCACTTAAGAGTCTCAAATTTCCAGTTATAAAATAAGTAAGTCACAATGAGGAAAAGTACAGCCTAGGGACTAGTCAGTAATACTGTAATAACTGTGTGGTGACAGATGGTAACTGCACTTTTTGTGGTGAGCAGTGTGTTTGTAGAATATGTAAAACTGTCAAACTTCTATGTTGCATACCTGAAATGTACATAACATTGTATATCAACTATACTTCAGTTTAAAAAAGTACAAAGCATACTATAAAAACTAGTTGATATATTTAACTTTTTAGCTTCTTATTAACCATTGTCATTTTAATTCATTTTAGAAATACAAACCTGGTCGATGTGATGATATTTTGAAATGGAAGCCTCCCAGTCTAAATTCCGTGGATTTCCACCTAAAGATAACAAGAATGGGAGGAGAAGGGTAAGTATGCACTTTTGCCACCATTTTTACATGAAATAATGCTGTTTGTATAAGGCTTCACTGTTTACTGGATACTTGACATATACTTTACCCCCTCAAAAGTAAAATACTTTATTTTTACAATATACATACATACCTGTACATCTGATTTTCAGCTGTTAGAACTAACGTTTTGTATCCTAACATCTGATTTTTAGCTATAAGAGCTACTAACGTTTTGGTCTTCAAAAGTACAGGTATTTCTAATACAAAAAAATGAACTTTGTTAAATTGTAAAAGTGAAAATGGATTTTGCTTGACAATTCCTGCCAACTGAATTATAAATTAAGATATGATCATGGTTGTTACATCTAAGTGTTTTGAAGTAGGTCTTTTTTACTTCAAAAGAAACTACTTCAGGCTGGCATTTGGATAGCAAAAACATTTCTTCATGGTTTAATTGTTGACTTCCATTAAGATTTTTCATAATTAGGGGCACCTGGGTAGCTCAGATGCTTAAGCATCTGCTTTTGCCTCAGGCCCTGATCTCAAGGTCCTGGGATCAGGCCCCATAATGGGGGCACATAGAATGTATTACTAGTTTTAGAGGTAGGCTTCAGTGATTCATCAGTCTTAGGTAATATCCAGTACTCATTACATCACATGCCCCACTTAATGTCCATCACTGCATCCTCCCACCTCCTTCCCCTCCAGCAACCCTCAGTTTGTTTCCTATGATTAGGAGTCTTTTATGGTTTGTCTTCCTCTCTGATTTCATCTTGTTTTATTTTTCCCTCCCTTTCTCTATGCTCTTCTGTTCTGTTTCTCAAATTCCATTTACAGCAAGATTGTATGATAATTGTCTTTCTCTGATTGACGATTTCACTTAGCATAGTACCCTCTGGTTCCATCCAGGTCATTGCAGATTGCAAGATTTCTTTTTTTTTTTTTTGATGGCTACATAGTATTCCATGGTATATATACATACCACATCTTCTTTAGCCCATTCATCTGTTGATGGACATCTGGGCTGTTTCCATAGTTTGGCTATTGTGAACATTGCTGCTATAAATATTGGGGTGCAGGTGCCCCTTTGGATCACTATATTTGTATCTTGGAGGTAAATACCTAGTAGTGCCGTTGCTGGGTTGTAGGGCCTTGTGTGTGTTTTATGGATGTTTTGTTGAGTTTTGAAAAATTATTTTGTTTTGCTTTTTACAGATTATAATTCTTAGCATTGAAAAGCTACATGAGGCTCTATATAGAATGTGCATTTTCTAGGTAGCAAAAATGTTAATACTAATTTTTTTCTTGCAGTTACCCACTGCAGTTAAATACAGCAAAATGTTTAGTAGTTTGTCATCCCAGTTTTGCTTTGTTCTTAGCATATTTTAAACTATATTTTGTTCTTTTAAAATTTCACCTATTTTTAAATGACTTCTTACAAAAAAAGAGGAATTACTTTTAATTCTGGTACATCTTTAAAACACACCACAATATCAATACTTAAGGTGATTTTATGATAGGAATGCGTAAGTTATATTTGTGTAGGTACATAATTTATTTATGTAACATGGGTGTCAGTTTTCAAAAATAGGGTATTTAATATGAAATACAGTGTAATAACTATTACATAAAGCATGTATTATTCAGTTAGCCAGAGTAGTATGCTTTTTTAATGTAAAGAATGTTATGTATTATAGCAGTTTTCACTAAATAAATGAGCTTACATCTAATGCCTATGTCAGATGCTGTATGTTAGAGGGCATTTTAAGAAATATGCCTTTAATAGATGGAAAGGAGAGTAGCCATTTATCTAAATTGTAAGAATCTGAGCATGTGACAAGTGTAAGTGGTTTAAGATATTAAAATACCACAAGACAAGCTCATTTCTTTTCTTGATTGCACTTCTAAATATTTCTAAATCTAAAAGCTAATCTAATCTAAAGCTTAGAATGGAGGGGAATGTCTTAAAAAGTTCAATATAAGTACCAATCCTTGAAAATGTCTCTGGTTGCCTTTTTTTTTTAATGAAGTCTTAGATTTTCAAAGTATGTTTTTAAGTTTTATCTAGCTGCATTACAGCAATAAAGTGGGTATAGTAGAGATTCTTCTTAGTTTAAAATTTAATACAAATAGAAAAATGTATTGTTAAATGCCTTGTCAATGGCAATTAAAATCTAAACTTTAAAAAAAAAAAAACCTCCTTTTAGTATCATTTCTGAAGTATATTAACTTTGATTTATCATGGCCTAAAATAACTTATATATCTTCGCTATTCACATTGTATTGGACTTTATAGACATACAATAGAGATTTTTATTTGAGAGCTGTATGGTGTTTTAAAAAATATTACGGGTTTATATTAACTTCTCTATAACCAGAAACTGTGATGGTTGTTTCAAAAGCTAGAATTACAAAGGTCTGTTCTGAAAAGTGCAAACTCTTGAGTACAATGTCAGTGGCTTATAGTGAGTAGTATACCTTTATCATTTTTGCAGCCTAGTAGTTTAGAGCACAGATTCTAGAATCAGACCGCCTGGGTTTAAATATCCTTATTAGCTGTGTGACCTTGAGCACATTCCTTTTTTCTGTGCCTTATATTCCTCATTCATAAAATAGAAGTTGACCTCATAAGACTTAAGAAATAAAAGGATTAAATAAGCTAATATATGTACAACAGATGGCACATGGTGAGCATTTAAATGTTTGCTGTCGTTTTTAATTAAAATAGAAATTAAAGTCCATATTTCCTTTTTGTTGCTCCTGCAATTCTTTTGTTTGCTGAACTGTGTAAGTTCAATTTTCTATGTGAATTATTTCCCATTTGATTGCAATCCCTATTAATTTTTCCCTTTTAAAATGAATATATCTTCATCTTATTTGTGTAATTAATCATAAATTGTTAAACACCTGGAGAGCGAGAACATAAAGTCACAAAACTTATTTGTAGATTTTTTTGGTAACAAACATCTTAAAATAACCTTGGCAATATGTGTAGTGGTTAAGAACACAGGTCTAGTGGTTAAGAACGTGGGTTCTTGGCCCAGCCTGCACAGAATCAAATCCTAGCTCCAGTCCTTTCTTGCTGCTGTTACTTTCTTACTAATCTTTCTAAGCTTCCTCATCTGTAAAGTGCCCACAGTAATAGTTTTTATCTCTTGTTGTGAAGATTTGCTTATACTCTATAAAATTTGCAGGAGTTAACAAAGTAAATATGGGTTCTGCCGTTATAGACTTGGTATTTATGAGCTATTGAGTTAAAATGCAAAAATAATACTGCTTTTTGAGATTTGGTAGGGATTAAATAAAATGATACATGTGAAGAATACACAATAGAATCTAATGTTTATTTTTGTCATTTTTGATGGTTATAGTTATTAATTTAACCTCAGCAAATACACAATAGAATCTAATGTTTATTTTTGTCATTTTTGATGGTTTTAGTTATTAATTTAACCTCAGCAGACTGTGTAGTTATATCATGGATTAAAAGTATGACCTGCATAATCGGGGGGGGGGAAGTGCTCTGAAGGAAGAAGCTGCACTTTTCTGTGAAAAGACAAAGATGTTTGCTCTTTCTAATGGAAAATTCTAAAATCACAGTGAAGTTTAAGATTTCATCCATCACGTTGGCAAATATTAACAATGTTTCTTTTGATTGGGTTGACTGGGGTGTGAGCAAACAGACACTCTGCTATTCTGTCTGATAGGAATGCAGATTGGTACAACTCTTCTAGTGGGCGATAAGGTAGCATATGTCCTGAGGACGTATAAGTTTTGGGAAAGGAGAAGCCTTATTTGTCTTCTGCATGTTTGTATTTCTAGTACCTGGTGTGGTAACTTGTACATAATAGATAGTCAAGAAATACTAAAAGGTGAAATATATAGGTTTGTGTGTGAGTGTGTGCGTGTGTGTGTGTGTATACACACACATTTTATTATATATATGTACATAAACAAAAATACCAAAAGGTATGTGTATAAGAATTTCATTGAAGTATCACTTATAATAGGGAAATTGGAAATATTCAGTGTCCTTTTTTATTATTGTATAAATCTTTTGAGATATCTATATATTCATGTGTGTTTCTAGGAAAGTTGCTAAGAATATTATAAATAGTGTCTTTTACAAATAGGTCCAGTCTGTTGAGATATAAGATTTTCTTAGAGGTTTGAAACTGAACTCAGACCTACTGTCCAGCTTTGTTGTTTGATTTTATATTCACACATAGTTATTGATATTAATAGATACATCATTTTGGTCATAGGAAAAAAACAAAAACCACAACAATTACTTTAACAGAATTAATTTAATATGAAGAACTATAATCAGTTACTAAAGAACTGAAAAGGCAAAGAAGTGTTGAAGAGATAGTAACTTCAGGAAGGACCTACCATGCAAGGAACAAAGGAATGAAGGAGAATTACTAAAATATAAAAGTTTGGAGGGGGCCCTATAGAGCTCATTACAAGTTTACTGCCAGCTGGTGGTGTTATTGCCTCAAGATCTTGGAGGATTATGTCTCTGAATTTTGACATCTGAGGAAGGGTACAGTACTGGCTAGGAGGTGCTGATTTTTCAGAGGGGGCCAAGTGAAGCTGGTTCTAGGACTGTGGGAAAAACTAGTGGAGCCACCTGGTACTACTGGAATCAGTTGTCACTCCAGGGTAGAAAACTTGTGCAAATAGGAGAGAGTACATTCTTTCTTTCTTCTTTAGTCTTTTAGTACCCTTGCTCACCCACCAGGAGTTCTAGAATAACAAATTGGAGCATAGAGAGTGAGTTTGAAGCCAGGTGACAATAGCTTAATATTAGCACAGTGCATTTCTTTAGTTACTTATCCATTCAATTCTACACATACTTGAATTTCCATAGAACAGCAAAAAAATTATTTCACTTGAGAGGCATATATTCTCTTGCTATTCAAAGTGTACAGACAGGGGTCTCAATTAACCATTTACCCATTTCTGGGAGATAGTCGTGATATCTGTCTCTGGGCAATGTTAATCACTCCTCA